ATGAGTCCAAAAAAAAGAGACTGAGGAGCTCTAATTAAGAGCTTTTTATGAAGAAGAAAAATCTGATTAAGTATTCCAGCCTTTAAAGTTTCCTCTGAAGGCCCAAAGCATCCTGGAACTAGAGGGTCCCAGGGGGAATTAGACAAAAATAAAGCACAGAAGGCACAGCCCTGCTGAGGGCTGATCCCTCTGGAGGGATTTGGGAAAGGGGTGCTGGATGTGGCCGTGGGGGGCTGCAGGGGGCACAGGAGGTGCCTTATCCCAACATCCCTGGGTGTTCATTTGGGATGGGAGCAGTGGCCAAGCCCACCTGGCCCAGCTCCTCACTCACATCTGGGTGAGATGCCCAGAGCCAGGGGAGCTGGAAATCCTGTTCTTCAATGGGTTAGGATTGGGAATGGGAGTGCAAGTGCCTTTTCCTGATGCAGTGGCTCCTCAGGAAGGAGGGTTTTTAGGGCAGGAACCTTCTGGGTGTGAGGGGAGTCCGGGGAATAACAAATGTTGCCTTTCTGACCATCACTAACACTGTTTTCTCTGTTCTCTCTGCCTCCTGCTAAGATGGGCCCATCAAGCTCTTCTGTAGGTTGCTCCCTGCTAAGTATTTGTTATTCCTGCTTTTCCCTCTGTGCTGTGTCCGTGTGTGTCCAGGGACTCGTGGGGGTGGGCAGGGGGAGGCCCTGGGGATGTGCCACCCCTGGGGATTTGGGCACCAGAGCTCTGGAATGGAGGAGGAAGGGAAATCTAGAGAGATTTTGAGCTCCATCAGGACCTGGCCCACGAGGCTTCAGCTTCTTTCCTGTCCTGGAATAACCCAGGAGCAGTTAATGAGATTCTAATTTATGCACAAGCGGAAAATGGTTTTTTTCATGGGTGTTCAAAGCTTTTTTTATTTATTTCAGGAATTATTTTAAGTAACCTCATTAATTAAGCAGAGAGTAAAACTGTGTGGTGGAGATGAGCACATGGGTTCCTGCCTTGCAGTTGCAGACATCTAATTCTCAAAATGCACAGTGGAATATTGTGGATGTTCCCTGTTATCCACTCGTGGCTCTTTGTTCCCAGCACTGGAGAGGAAGGACCAGGGTTTGTGTTTAGTGTTTGCAAAGAAACAATTTATCTTTTAAATAACTCAGGAGCAAAAGGTTGATTGAGCACTTTATTGAGCACCTTGATTTTGTAACAAGGAACAACTTCATGTTTACATCAAGGTACAAAGAAATCAGAACTGAATTACAGAACTTATTAATTATTCACCTTCCAGACCTGTTGGAATTGGAATAGGAATAGGAACAGGAATAGGAAGGGATTGGGTTCATTGCTCCCATGTTGCTTTTTCTCCTCTGTTCACAGATTAATGAGAGTAATCAAGTTTAATTTTCAGGCTTCATTTTCATAGCTCCTCTGTTGAAGTTCCTAATTGACTGTAAAGTTCCTAAATTACTTTAATTTGCTGCATTTGCACAGCACAGGAATTAAAACCCGGTTTCTTCACCCCTGTTAAATCCCAGGTGCTGCAGCCCAACCCCTTTGGCTCTGAAACACAAACCTGCTGAGGAGCAGCTCTGCCCAATGCACTTTCCCCAAAAACCTTGGGAAAGGGGCTTTTTTTCCCTTCTTGTCACCTGTTTTGGGACACAGCTCCCGGGGTGTGTGACACTGCTCTGCCAGCAGCAGGACAGGCTTCAATTCAGCCGCTCTCTCCATGTTCTGGGGTGTTTAAATATAAATCCTGGGCTTTTAAATCAATCCAGGCAGCTTGTGGCAATAAACTAATCCCAGATTTCTTTAGGGAAGTTTTCACAGCCTCTGAGGGTGAGGCTGGGCCTGAAGCAGCTCAGGGCTGGGTGCCACCGTTGGCCTCTCGAGGTAGTGACACCTTTCCAGGATTCCAGTGGGATAATTCAGCTCTGGCCAGTTCTCCAGTGCTGAAATGCCAGCTGGAGAGCTACCCTCTGGGAATGTGGGGTGTTCTGCGGCCAGTCCCTCAGGAATCTGTGGTTTCCTCTGCCCTGTGTGCAGCTGTGAAGATCAAGAAGCCCATCAAGACCAAGTTCCGCATGCCCGTGTTCAACTGGGTGGCCCTGAAGCCCAACCAGATCAACGGCACCGTCTTCAACGAGATCGACGACGAGAGGATCCTCGAGGTACCCCCGCTGCTCCTGGGCCTCTCTGGCCACCAGGGAGTCATGGAATGGGTGGGAAAAGCCCTCTTAGATCTCTGAGTCCAACCATCCCCCAGCACGGCCCAGGCCACCCCTGACCCCTGTCCCCAAGTGCCACATCCACATGGATTTTAGATCCCTCCAGGGCTGGGGACTCCAAACCTCCCTGGGCAGCCCCTTCCAAGGCCTGACCACCCTTTCCAGGGAGCTGATGTCCCACCTGAGCCTCCCCTGGCACAGCCTGAGGCCGTTCCCTCTCCTCCTGTCCCTTGTTCCCTGAGAGCAGAGCC